AAAGCCCTGATCTGTAGTCTTCCAATTTCCATGGTGTAAATACTCCCACCATGGTTTATTTAATCACTGACATGATGTCACCAACATGGTATTGGGAAGAGATGCACACCATCTGCCCTCAGGAGCCAGCATGATGGGCCCCAGCCTACTGCTGGCTGAGCTGTTCTTCACAAAAGCAGGATTGTAATTCTGAGATTCATCTGCGTCAGTACAGAGAGCTCTACCTCATTCTTTTAAACCAACCACATCATATTTCATAGTCTGAATAGACTATAATTTTTTCTTTTTTTCCTTTTTGTCTTTTTTACTGACCGGTAACGGGATCGCAACCCTCGGTTTTGCGCCCGCACCGCGCTCAGCCAGTGAGCGGGAACCGGTCTCCACATGGGATCCGAACCCTTGGCGGGAGCGCCGCCACGCTCCCAACCGGCGCACTTCTCCAGTGCACCACCGGGCCGGCCCAAGACTATAATTTCTTTACTCACTCCTCGATTGATGGATATTCAGGTCATCTTCAAATATTTGTTATTACAAAACCTGTTGCAATGACTTTCCTTGAATATGTCCTTGCAGGTCTGGATCTGTGCTGTCTGCATAGATAAGATTCTTAGATGTAGAATTGCTAGGTCAGAGTCCCGGGAAACATTTTTGAAAGCTAATGTCAAATTGCAGTCTGCAGCTGGCTGGTGTTCAGTGAGTTAGAGCACCGTGTAATGACACCAAGGTCAAAGGTCCAGATGCCCTGTACCAGCAACCCACCAAAAAAACCACAAAAAAACTGCACTCTGATAAGGAGATGCTAGTTCACACTCACACTAACAGCATAAGAGAGAATCTGTCTCCCTACGTCCCCATCAGCACTGGATGTTATTAATGTTTTAAACTTTTGTTAATCAGATAGGGGAAATAGTATCTCATTATTTTCATTCTCTGTCTCCCTACATCCCCATCAGCACTGGATGTTATTAATGTTTTAAACTTTTGTTAATCAGATAGGGGAAATAGTATCTCATAATTTTCATTCTCGTTTCCCTCATTACTAAGTAGATTAAATCTCTTTTCATTCATTTATTGCATTTTTCTATTTCCTCTGTCATTGCTTGTTCAAACTATGTGCACATTTTCCTGTTGGGTTGCTTATCTTTTCGTACTGATTTGTAGGAGACAAGCTCTTTGTACATCACAGATATTAATTCTTTGTTAGATTTTGCAAATATTTGCTCTGCTCTGCCATTTGCCCTTTAATTTTTAAGTATAGAAACAAAACAATTTTTAAAAATGTAGTCAAAACCGTTCATCTTTCTTTAGTGGATTCTGCATCCCATATTTAGGAAGGCCTTCTGACTGTAAAAATATTGTTTTATTTTTTTCCCCAATGCTTTATAATTTCCATACTTGGCTCTCATGCAATTGAATTTGTTTGCGTATCATGTGAGATAGAAATGGATCCCCCCATGACAGCCATTTGTCCGAGGGACGTTTATTGACACATCCATCTTTCCCCACCGATCGGAAGTGCTGCCTTTATCATAGCGGGAACATCTACACGGCCCCTTCCCCTCCTCTCTGTCCTTGTCATTGCTCTGCTCCCTCTGCCAACAACAGACGGCTTTAGCTGTGCGATCTTTTTAGTATATTTCGGTATCTGGTAGGACGAATCCTCCCTTGTCATTCCTCCTCTAAAAAATATTCTTGGCTGTCCTTGTGCATTTGCTCCTCCAGATGAATTTAGAATAGGCTTATCACGTTCCATTTTTTAAAGTTCCCAGTGGACTTCTTCTGAAGGGAGCTGGGGGAACCCTAACAAGGGGGAAGTAGTCTGAGCCCCCCCCTTTGTAGGTACCTTCTCTTCTGACCTACTGAACCTTGGTGTCCTTGTCCCGGAGACTGGGGCAGGGACCTCTTTTCTAGGATCAACATGCAGCTTAAGTCCAATTTCTTCCCAAATGAACACACCTGGGCTATCCCAGGTTGGGTACACACCTGAGTGCAGGTGGTGGGTTTGGTCGCATAAATACAAGGCCACAGACCCCCTCCCCCTTTACCAAAACCAGAACAGCATGAGCACAAAACACTGACCTCCCAGCAGGGCCTCCCCAGGAGCGGGAGAAGGGGCTGCCTCCCACCCCTCTAAAGAGTCTACTGTGTTCTAGACAAATACAACGACTTCATCGAGGCCAATCGCATCGAGGACTCGAGGGAGCGGATGAAGACGCTGAGGAAGCTGGTGAGGAGAGATGCTGTCAAGCAAAGTGTGGAGTGGACGGCAGAGCACCCCTGTCCCCAGAGGCGGAGAGTCCGGTGCCACCAATTCCCCGTGACCTTGGAAAAGCCCTTCCCCACACAGGGCCTCAGTTTCTCCATCTATAGAAGTGAAGGGGGGTAGAGGGTGTATTCCAGACTCTCTGAGGTATGAGAACGGGAGCCCCTTTGGGGCACGGTGGAAGCCGGGGGTGGGGGTGACCATCGCAGCCTGGTCCCATGCCCCTGCTCTCTCCCACCAGATCCGGGACCTCCCAGGACACTACTATGAAACGCTCAAATTTCTTGTGGGCCATCTCAAAACCATTGCTGACCACTCGGAGAAAAACAAGGTGGGTGGGGCCCTAGCATGCAGTGTGGGGGAGGGAAGCACAGGAGAGTGTGGGGGAGGGAAGCACAGGAGTTACGGGGGTGGGGGTCTCAGCATGTTCCAAGCTCCTCCAGGTCAGGTAGCTCATGTCCATCTAGGTGTGCCCTCCTTAATGCCATTCTGTCCCCCCCACCACATGCTGGCCAATGCTCTTCCCCCAGAGAGCTGTCTCCTGAGTGTCTGAGGGTCTTCCAGAGAAAGAGAGCCACTGTCTTCCTGTGTCTGATGGAAATATATCCTCTGATGCTCAGATTCTCTATGCTCAGATCCCTTGTATTGCATTTTCCCAGTCAAACCCTTAAGTCTCTGGTTCTGCAGTGAGGGAAATGAAGGGAATGATGGGATTTTTCCCAGGTCTAAAAACCCTTGGGACTGCCAACATGTCTCCCATTCCAGGATCTCCCAGTGCTAGCACTGACAGCTTAGGGCTGCCCTGTTCGGGTGTGCAGGTTGGGCACTGCTCATGGCTGTTGGGCCTGGGGATGAGTGGGGCTGAAATCTGGCTTGTGCTCCACTTGCCAAGCACCTCCATGCCCATGCAAGGGGGTGTCTAGCCCCTGAGCTGAAGACAGCTCAGGATGGCATTAAGGACTGAGGCCTTGGGGGCCTGGAGTGAGGGAAGACTCGGGGGAGCTAGAGGTCAGAGCTCAGAGTGTTAACCCTGACCAGCTTCCCTGCCTTGCCTAGATGGAGCCCCGGAACCTGGCCCTGGTCTTCGGGCCGACACTGGTGAGGACATCTGAGGACAACATGACAGATATGGTGACCCACATGCCCGACCGCTACAAGATCGTGGAGACTCTGATCCAGCACGTAAGCAGCCTGTTCTGTGGGTGTGCCCTGGCAGCCCCTGGGCCCCACGCTTCTGCTTAGCCTGGGTGGATGTGCTTGGAGAAGGACATGGCAGCTTAAGGAAATGCTGTTTAAGGGTGAATGCCTTCCAGAAGCAATAGGCTGCATTTCAAGGCAAAATAGGAATGGATCCTAGAATCCCTGTTCTTCTGGGATGTCAGGTCTCCAGCAGGAGAGTCAGGAGGCCCCTGAGCTTCCAAGATGCGTTGTAAGAGTCAGAGGGAGGAGAAAGGGCAGGNAGCAGGAGAATCAGGAGGCCCCTGAGCTTCCAAGATGCGTTGTAAGAGTCAGAGGGAGGAGGAAGGGCAGGGAAGGAGCTGCTGGGTTGGAAGACAGAAAGGGTGAATGCAGGAGTGCCTTCAGAGGGTGGCCCCAGGAGAGGCATCCTGCAGACACAAGCAGAGGCAGGCGCAGAGCTCTGACCTGGGAATCAGGTGGCCTGGGCTCTGGACACTTTCCCTGCCAGCCCCACCGAGGGTTGGGGGAGGTAACAGTGATGCCTGGAGTAAGGGGGAGACTGATGCAGCGGGGGACAGTCCATGGTCCTGTGGTGGGATCCTGCACTGGTGCTGGGTGTGGCTTGGGCTGGTCACCTCCCTTCTCAGAACTGCCTGGAGACTCCAACAGCCCTGTGTTCCTGCGGAATCTTGTTATACACGACGGGAAGAGTACCCAGAGTGGCCAGCAGAGGGCGCCGGAGGTCTCGGTCTTCCAGAGCCAAACCCAAAGGCAGCACTGCCCCCTTCTGGGGGTGCTCAGAGATGTTTTTATGATTTTCATTTCCAAATCTTGTCATGGCCCACCAAGGATGGAACCAAACCCCCTCCT